CAGCTGAAGCATAGCTGGATGTATTTCCTGTGTCCTGACCTGAGGTCATACTGACGTAGCTAACTGATGAAACCAAATTTCTTGCTATCTTTTATTTAATAACCATAACCTTTATACTTCTGTGGTTGGTTGTGTTTCTTAATGGCACAGTCTTTGGTGGAACTTTGATAATGTCAAGATTTTGTAATGAAAAATTTCTTAACGTGAATATTTGAAACTGGAAGTATTTGAACAACTAAAAGCCACTCTGTGTTATAAGTATAATATATTAGGATAATCTCACCTGGGTGTTCCAAAGTAAATCTGTTATAATTTTTTTAAAATATATTTTTATTGATTTTTTTACAGAAAGGAAAGGAGAGGAATAGAGAGTTAGAAACATCGATGAGAGAGAAAGATCAATCAACTGCCTCCTGCACACCCCCTACTGGGGATGTACCCACAACCAAGGCACATGCCCTTGACCGGAATCGAACCTGGGACCCTTCAGTCCCCAGGCCGACGCTCTGTCCAGTGAGCCAAACCGGTTAGGGCCCGTTATCATTTTTATAGTCTTAAAAAAATGTTTCTAACCCTACCAGAGGACAAACACCTTTGATTCCAGGGTCTCCCCTCCCAAGCTAAATTTGAATATTGGTCAAAGAAAGAAACTTGGGTCCATTTATTTTAAGCATCTTAAATGATGTGTGACCAGTTTTTAGCTGCCATTGGCTAGAAGGAAATGTTTTGAGGTTTCTCTGTTTTTAATCTTTATTTTTTCTGAACCTAAAAAGCTTTCCTTGAAATGCAAACTTAAGAATATTGTCAGGCATCTCACACAGTGATATTTTTCTGATGAAAGGAAAATGAGCCCTGGCTAGTTGGCTCAGTTGGTTGGAGCTTCGTCCTGTGTACACCAAAAGGTTGAGTGTTTGATTCCTGGTCAGGGCACATACCTAGGTTTTGTGTTTGATCTCCGGTGGGGACTCATTCGAGAGGCAACCAATCAATGTTTCTCTCTCACATTGATGTTTCTCCCTCTCTCTTTAAAAATCAATAAACATATCCTCAGGTGAGAATACAGAATAATAATAAATAGCCCTAGCCGGTTGCTCAGTGGTTAGAGAGTCAGCCCGCGGACTGAAGGGTCTTGAGTTCAATTCCAGTCAAGGTCGCATAACTCGGTTGCAGGGCACGTGCGGGAGGCAGTCAATTGATGTGTCTCTCTCACATTGAGGTTTCTCTCTCTCTGTCTCTCCCTCTCCCTTCCACTCTCTCTAAAAATCAATGGGAAAAATATCCTCAGGTTTAACAGAAATACATAAGTAAGATAATAAATAAATAAGGAAAATTAAAAGTGTTGAACTGATCATTCAGTGCTATTGCGAGAGACTCATTTGTCTAGCACAGAAAATTGACTATTTGCATGCAAACACAAAGTTGGTACATGGTAAAGAGGCTGAAGCAGCCTTTGTATATAAAGAGATATGTTACTGGTTTCCGAGGGTTTGGGGGGACTCTCACGTGGCACACGTTGAAGTGCCCACAAAGGACGCACTTGACACTGTGCGGGAACTTGTGATGTGGGTGGAGAGAGAGCGATCCTTCGCGATTGCCGCACGGTAATGGCGCTTCCTTACTTTGCAGCATGTGAAACGACAGTGGAGCTCTTGTTTGACAGTGTGATACACCTGGGCTGTAAGCCGTACCTGGACAGCCAACGGGCCGCGTGTTGGTGTCGCTACGAAGAAAAAACTGATCTTTAAAGAAGATGCTGCCGGTGACAGCAGATGCAGATGAAAGCACATAACAACCTTTGGCAAAGAACTAATGTTTTTACAGCACAAAGGTCCCTTATTTTTGTGAAAGGGCGATTGTAAGACCTTATTTTGACCTTAAAGCTTCAAACTAAAGAGGCAAGGGGAGACTGTGTTCCTGGATGGCGCTGCCGTAGTGCGCCAGGCTGTCCTGGCCAGTGTCGGGGAGAGGTGCGCGTTAAGGGGTGAGTTGTTTTTTTAAAGAAAGTTCTGTAACTTCGTTTTCACAACCGCATTTACTCCCAAAATGAGGTCACATGTAAAATTCATTATAAGGTATGTTCAACATTATCTTATTAGGAAATATGGAGAGACCTTCACTCAGAAGTGTATTTTTGTTTACCATAAAAATTTAAAAATACATTTATTCCTGGAAGGATCTGACTGTTTTTTTCAAAATATGCTGTTTTTCTGTAGCCCATTGAGCATATGACTAAGTCACACTTCTATTAATGACAAGACTAATTACAAAGTCAAAATTTCCATGTCTGTTTCTCATAAAATTGGAACCATTAGCTGGTGACCTCTTAAGGAGCAAAACCAGAGTATGTAGGTATTATGTAATGTGCCTAGAAGGTGACGTGAACAGAATTCAGAAGCATGGCCACTCCCATATTATGAAGCATTCATATGACAAATGTCATATTTTGTGATAATTGGAGAAAAGATGAATTTAATAAATAAATGAGAAGTTGTTTACATGTCAGAGCATTGTATGCTGTTATGCTTTGATGTTTATTCCCTAGCTTGCTCCTCATAGTAGATTTTGGGATATTTTGAAAAGACAGTAACCTTTCACTAATTGTGGTCTTAAAAAAAATTGTTCTTGATATTGTTGGGTGTGTGTTTTTTCTAAAGTCTAACTGTGAGATCAAAAGGGATGGAAAGCAACTTACAAAGAATCATCTTTTATAGATCTCTCATTTACATGAAAAATTATTAACAGATGTTTAAGAGCAAATCCCACAACCTCCACTGCCTCTGAAAACCGGAGTGTTGACGGCTCTTCAACCCCTTGGAAAGTTCGGCTGTGTCCTCTATGCTCTTCGAGTACCACTGGCTGTTGACTTGCCTGAGCCCAGAATGCCAAGCCATCTGTATCTTTTGGGTAGCCTGTGGCCACAGTTGTTAAGGCAAACTACTTGGGAAGTCAGAGAAATACACCACCAGGAGAAGGTACAAAAGATAAGGCTACCTTTTCATCCACTCTTAGAGTTAATTGAAGCAAATTTACACAATAGCCAACCACCCAAGGAAGAGCTCAGTTAAAGGCAACACTGAGTGCCCCATCACACTGATCTGCACACTGGGCGGCATTTTATGAGTGAGGACAACATGCTTTGACTCAAGAAAAACCATAATTTATGGACTTCCCTCCTCCCCCGCAAAATCCAGGCTCCCAGTTTTTACATGATTCCTTCCCCAAATTAGCTTTGTTAAAAATTATGACCGAGACTTAACCTGGACACAGTCAATCAGATAGGAGGGAGGAGCTAGGGCTTTATAGGAGGAGTTGTGTACTCTGTGTCACCTCCAGAACCCTGTTCTACAGAGCTCGGTGGATGTAACTGCGCCTCCCCTTAACGTTCTCGTCCCTTAAGCTCCTTCTCCATCTTGGTCCAGTCCAGTGTGTGCATGTGGCTCACCATTGTCTGCATGCATCGGTTGCAATTCTTTATTTTTCCCCAAATAAGTTCTTTCAGTGACAATAACTAGTGGATTCTGATTCCCAATCAACAGCTTGTTAACTTAAAAATAATAAGTCAAAGTGAGAGGCAACAAGTATTTATTCGAGACCACAGAATTACAATCATAGAATTCTGGCAAAAACCCAAATTGTGTTCCAAATTCAGGGTGAAGGCAATAGCTTTTTTTATGACAAAAGGAAGAGAAATAACTATATAAATAGAAGGAAGGACTTTCTATTGGTGTTATCAAGCTGTGTTACTCTAGCTGTACATACAAGCATACTTCATTTCATTGCATTCACTTTATTGTGATTCGTTGTCTTCAACATCAAAGCAAGACACTCCACCAGCAAAAAGAGTATAACTCACTTTAAGAATTTTAAAGAAAAATAAAAATAAGGGAAGAAAAGAATTTTAAAGAATGTCCATAACCCTCAGTCCTCATGGGCAGATTATCTGCTTTCCTGTTAGCTTTCCGGTTGGTTGTAAGTGTTGCTTGGCCCACTCCAAAGGTTACTCTGCCCAGTTCAAACATTGCAAAGGTTCTAGGAACAGAATGTGCAAGCAGCTCATCTGGAATGGCTGCTCTGGCTCTATTTTAAAATGACTCCACTTATGTCAGCTTTTCACAAGCTCTACCTACGAAAGCCAGACTTAGAAATCCTGCAGTTGCCTCTAGTTCACTAAACAAACAGAGCGTTTAAGATAAATTATTACAAATCCTATAAGCAACTCACTGGGGAAAGAACTACACGTTGCCATCCCATGGTCAGCACCAATTCGATCGCCAGAAGGAATCCTCACCTTGGCAAACAGCTACCAGCGGTTCTCAACCTGTAGGTCGCGACCCCTTTGGGGGTCAAACACATATATAATTACATATTGTTTTGTGATTAATCACTATGCTTTAATTATGTTCAATTTGTAACAATGTAATTGCAGGTCACTATAACATGAGGAACTGTATTAAAGGGTCGCGGCATTAGGAAGGTTGAGAACCACTGAACCCTTGGGATGGCTGTGAAGGCAGCTCCGAGGTGGCAGCGCCACCGCATGGCCTCCCGAGGAAACGCACTCTTCTGTCTGATGGAAAGTGCGCTCCCCAAGGGAACCAGCGGGGCCACGGCTGACGTACAGCCTTCCGCACCCGGGCCCCTGATTGGTCAGGGCTGCGCGCAGCTCCGATTGAGTGGGGAAGCTCAATCCTGGTTTAAATAGGACCCCAGGGTCTCCTTTATAAGGGCTGGCTCGGGGAGCAGAGGCGATGCAGGCGGCAGTTCAGGGCAGGGCCTTAGAGGCTTCTCACGACGTGCAGATTGCGGGAGGGGCCCCTGTGCTGAAATGGCTGCTAGGCTCTGCTCCCCCAACCTCCCGCTTAGCCATCAGGAGCCCTTCCTAGTCCTCGGGGTTCACACCTGAAAAGGGAAGACTCACAACATTCTGACCCCTTACGCGAGTCAGGGAGAGCAAACATTGGGGCTGGATTGACCGCGCGCAGGTGAGCTGATGTCGCCTGTTGACATTTCCCAGAGGCAGGTTAGTCCCTCCAGGCGCCAGGCGGCTAAACCTGCGTGTCCCCGCCCCGCCCCGAGGCGCTGTGCATCCCACCCCACCCCACTCCACCCCCAGCTCTGCTGGGAAGGGAGAAACCTTATCCCCCGAGGCTCCCGGCCGGGGCGGAGACGGTGGAGGAAGGGGCGGTGCTGCAGACGGGCTCTAGGAAGCGGAGACCAACGGGTTATGGACGCTGCGCTCGCCCCGATGAGCTCGGTGCCCGGGCCCCGAGAGGCTGGCCCTGCAGGTAGGGGTTG